GTCGCATGAAGCACTGGTTCGACCAGCATGTGTTTGTCAATGTTCTATTGACAAACTACAAGAGGTCGTCGAGTCTGTTGTGTGCTGCTGGATGAGAGGCGACACAACTGTTGCTCATTTGTCTGAGTGGCTGTCACTCGAACGGAAATGATAGCCAAAAAGCAGCTGAAGTATGTCCGCTCGGTACTAAAAGTCCCATCAGCTATGCCTGGTGAGATTGCCATGTTTGCCTCCAGTAATCCTATGTGACATACGGCACTCAATTTCACGTCTCGAATTCAGTTCAGTATAAGATACAGAGGCGTCACCTTCGTGTAGGCCATCCAGATGACCATTAGCTGTGCAGCTTAAGTGGCAGTATTTCCAAAGAGAAGGCATGTTGAACTGAGGGATGAAGCAACCAGTCCTTTTTGCTAGTGATGACAAAGGCAAAAATGCCACCTGGGAGGAGGCCAGACTGCCCAGTGTAACGGGAAGTCCGAGGAAAGAAAACACTTGCTTCCCGTCACCGACACAACTCTGGGGCCTGTGACCATGATATGACCATTCGGCTTCTGTCCCCGTCAGTGATACTTGCAACTGAGATCCCAGAAAGTTCACAGGAAGTCATTTGTTCGAGGCCCGTGACAACTGTGGTAAGTGATTGCTGTCCTTTAAAGGTTCCAACCATTCCGCCATGCGCCACCGTTGGTGTAAAATTTGGCTGCCAAGGATGACAAGAAATCATTTGAAATTCACAGTGGGGGAACAGACCAATCGGCAACAATTTTGGCATCCGTGCAAGTGTGCGAACCATCCTTGTGTGTTCAAGGAACTTGACTTGATATTGCTAGTCCATGCCACGCTTGTGCACCAATGGCATAGCTTGGACCAATCGCACGCAGAGGCGTATAATTGTCCATCTTCAACTTGGACTACAAATTGCTCTCTCTCAAGAGAAATGGGTGATACTCAGCAGAAAGCCTCTTTCCGGAATGTGGCTCGATGTCAAACAGGCTCGCGGGCTCATGCAGAGAAAAATCCCAAATACAACATGGCATGGAGAATGTCTGTTGAAACTGCGCAGTCATTGGTGAGAAATAGATTTTGCCGTCCTGTTCATTGAAGGAGGGCCAGCCATACAAGTGATGGATCCCGTTTTCTGAGAAGAAAATTGACATTGTAAAGCGACTTTTGACGAAGAGCTGTTCCCTTGACATGAATTTGTCAAAGCTGCAGAAAGGTACACACATCAAAAGTAAAGTCGTACACAGCCTGTGAGAGCAGCATGTTAGGAAAGACATTACACCTTCCAGATAAAAAAATGTGGTGACCCAAACTGTTTGCATTCCACCCGTGCCTGCGAACGGCTGTCATGGCTGCCAGAGTCCTGTCCTGGACGAAAGTGGTGAGCACTACTTGAAGTACAAAAGAGGTGATGTCGCAGAAATAATGACACCACAGAGGCTGATAGACCATCCTTAAACCTGTAAAGGAAAGCCCCAGAGAAAGAGAACGCTCCGCGGCAATTGGAAAACCAGGCGGAAACTGGTGATCGCAACAAATGGACCGAGCGGTCAAGCCAGATGCGGAAGACAACAGCTGTGGCAAGTTTCCCATTGGCAGACCGCGAAAACATTCCAAGTACAGTGATCCTGCATGACACATATCTGTACACTTGGCAACAAAATGCTAGAGCCAACTGTGCTATTGTACTGAATGCAGGAAGCCCACGTGTGCTCTACTCAAGAACGGCTGTCTCAGAGGCACAAAGCTGACATTGACTTTTGTGATGAGTGAGTATGATTACACATGTGGTGCGCGCCCTTGTTACCGCCAACCTGTGCTCCATCTCGACAGACCTGTGCATGTGGCGCAACTGGCATTGTCTGTGGTTGCCCAGTCGAATAATCCTTACTATAGGCAAGTGCCCATAGGAAAGACTTGACCATATGTGCTTTCTGTCAGCCGAGGCAGGCATGAGGTAATGCGAAATGAAAAAAGAAGTTTAAAACTGTAGGCTAACCTCTTGTGCCAGAATTGCTGTGAAGAAGGCCGAAAGGCAATAGTGTATCGGCCCTTCGGGACCAAAATAAAGACTGTATTTGTGCAAAATTGTATTTTCATTGGTTCAGTTTATAAACAAAATAAAAAAAAAACAAATAAACAGTTTGTATTTAATAATATTGAATGGTAAACGCTGAATGACATTTTAATGCTAGAAACAGAATGCAAACAATAGACTTCTACTAGATATTTAGCATGTCAGACTGTGGGAAGTGGGGTCTATAAGTGCTGTTTATTTGTTTGCCGACAATGTTTTTCAGGAATCGTTTTCAGAATTACTTGCTAGAACTTTGAGAAATTTCAGCTGTCTGAGCAGGGGTCGAAATTAGATTTTTATTATGGTATCCATTCGGGGATACGCAGGTATTGAAATCTGGTATCCCCAAAAGATCTGTATCGCCGATTTTTTTTTGGCAAATCCAAATCCTCTGAAATATGCAATAATAGGCATTTGAAATTATTAATATGTAATGTTATATTATTAATAAAAATCTCGCTCGGCCGGAGTCTAATGATTTAGTGGGCTGACGTGGGCCATTCGCGAGCATTTCATTTTACCCATTAGAATATATACCAGACACCTAGTGTTATATCAGGAGTGGTTATGATACTGTACACACACTGGCAGTACTGACTGCAGACGTATTGTAATTAGACGCAGTTGTCTGGCTCGCTGATAGCAATCATGATAGCAATGTATATCACATGTCGCGTACAATATGATCAACATCGCCACCCTTGCGCTTGCAAATATGGCTATGCCTGCTGGTAATAAAAACGCTAGTGTGGACATAGTAACTTAGCTAACTAAATAGCCCGGCGCACACGTGGCGATTTTGTCGGACAGAACCGGCGATTTGTCGCAGGCAACAAAATCGGCCGAGAAATCGCGCACGTGTGCGCTGCCGCGCGTCACCGATTTTGACGCCGCAGAAAACTCGTCGGGCTGGAATATCAAACAATTTTGAATATTTGTTGCCCAGTCGCAACAATCGCTACGTGTACAGCTGTACTGCCCAGATAGGCATGCTTACGTTGGGCCAACGTTGGCATTTGGTTGGCACGGTCACGGTTGGCAATATGACGTTGGCCAGACGTTGGGCAAACGTTGGCACGGTCATGGTTGGCATGTGGTTTGGCAATATGACGTTGGCCACGTTGGCGTATGGTTGGCATGGTCACGGGTTGGCAAGTGGTTGGCTGCAATGCCGTTGGCCAACGGTTGGCGT